CCCCTGCCCCCCTGGCTGGCAGTGTTTTTGGTGCAGAATTCCACATTACTTGCTTTCAGCACCCTGGGAGGAGGATGAGATCCGCAGGGACCGAGTGGATCCCCAGAGCGTGTCCCTGTCGTGGCGGGAGCCCATCCCTGCTGGAGCGCCTGGGGCCAACGGCACAGAATATGAGATCCGGTACTACGAGAAGGTGAGTCTGTCTCTGGGAAGGACCTGGCCCCTGGCCCCCGGCCCCTTTCCTGTCGGCCTCCCTCTTCTTCACACCCTCCTCCCAGCAAAAGTCCTTCTTACAATCTTGCTAAACGTATCCACCGGTCTCCCAAGTGGTCTCCAGGGTGGGAGTTCGCCCTTCTCCCTGTCCCCGGCTCCGCTGGGCGCCATGCTCCTTCGCCTTTGCTCCAAGTCTGCGTTCATCACTCAGCATCGTCTCCATTTTCACCGCGTTTGTTTAGCGTTCACAGTGGCCAGAGAGCGTTCTGGGGGGCTGGCCCAGACTCTGGGTATCTGAATCACACACATGCCACGTGCTGAGCCCTGACAGACCAGCACAGGAATGCAAAGATACTCGGTTTCAGCTCTGAGAGTGGCTGACCCCAGCTGGAGGCTGGACTGAGGCGCGGCCCATGCCCAGCAGCTAGCCCTGAGGACACGACTTACAGTGGCCATTTGACCGATATGAAGATCTGTGGCACGTCACTTAGAATACTACTAAAACACCTGCAGTTCTCTATTACAAACTCTGTACGGACTTACTCCCATCAGACACGTTCGCTGCTCTTTGCTAACCTCTCGTATCATTGCCAACCTGCGTTAGTTCCGCCGTCATCTGAGAAATTGAATTACATCCCAATTTGCTGTCTGTTTTCTCCATAAATGTATCGTCTTTAAATCTGACGAGCACGTAATCTACCATGGAGCCGTTACTCACCGTGGTGCAAATTATACTCATTAAAGTGACGCTCTCCTCAGCTTCCATACTACCCGTGTCAGAACTTCACGCCTCAATCTCCCGAGGGACTCCTTGCTGAATCAGATCATAGTTGCCGAGTACCAGGAGTCGGTCGAGGGCTGTGATTGCTGGGATGAACAGGAAGGAGGAGGGACTCCTGAGTCCCACCGGTGCATGAGCTGGGGGCTCAGGATGGGGTGCCCTGAGTGAGGTGAGGGCGTGGGATAAGCCTGTGGGACATGCAGGTGGACTTGCAGGTTCCAAGTGGGAGGCCTGGGCTGGCAGGAGAGGGTGGGCTGGAGCTTTCGGAGCTGGGATGGTAGCTGAAGCCAGGGGGCTGTGGGGACCACAGAGGAAAACACATGAGAAAAGTGGTGAGGACAGAGCCCCGAGGACTCTGAGGTGGAGTTGACAGCAGCACAGGATGCTGGGAAAAGCAGGCACTTAGAGAGGACTCCCTGAGCTGACTTTTGGTGTCAGAGCACAGCCGAGCCCCTAGGCTGAGCTGGGTGGGTGCTCCCGGCCCCCGAATCAGGGAGTGTAAATTGGCTGGAATCAAGAACCCTCTAAAAGAGGAGCAAGCACCCAAAGGGATGTATTGAAAGGCTTCAGAGTGATCTCATGGAATCCAGCCACTGGGCCTGGACAGGTGTCAGGTGGCTCCTCTGAGGTGCCAGTGCTTCTAGCTTCAACTGCCCACCTCCTCGCTGTCTCCGCTCCCCTGCCCCACCAACTCTGCAGACTGGCTCCTCGTCATGCAACATGGCTGCTGTGGCGGCTGGCCTTGCTCCTTCCTCCCCCTGCCCCATCTCATAGATCCCACAGCCCTTGCCTCTCTGCCTTCCATGAGTTGTTCGAATGCCTGGAAGGGAGATTCTGATTTTAGCCATCTTGGGTCCAAGTCTGCCTTGATTCTTGAATGTCATGGCTATAAAACTGGGGCCACAGAAAATGGGGAAGGTGCCTTTTTAGGGGTCGTGGATGTGGCAGGGACTCTAAAGGTGTGGGCAGGGACAGAATGGGAGGAGTACCCCTGGCCATGCCATTATCAGCTGTGTGTGGCGGGCGGGGGGCATGATGGAGAGCAGAAAGCAGGACCTAGAGGAATCAGGGAGGTGTCACCCGACCCTTCCTGGCTGTGAGCCTCACCCCTGCACAGGAGGCAGCAGTGCTGGCTCCCCCTGGCTGTGGTGCGTGTGGGAGGAGGAGGGAGCACAGTGCTGGCAATGGCTAGGCACCGTCTGATGCTGCGGCTGGCCCCTGTCCAGCTGGGGCTTTGGGTTAATCCTTACCTCTCTGAGGTGGCTTCCTTATCTGTGAAACAAAACAAGATAATCCCTCCTGTCCTCCTGCAAATGGAGAATCAGATGACCAGGGGAAGAAAACCTTGGGAGCTCTCCAGGGCCAGCAGGTGTCAGGGCTCACTTCCTGGTTCCTTCCTCTGAGGCTTCAGGCTGTGGGGCTCTGCTTACTCACCCCAGCACTGCCAGGCCCAGGCACCCTTGTCTTACCCTGAGAAGGGAGACCCAGCGGAATTTTCTCCTTGGAATTTTCGCTTATGTGGAGGGGGGTATTCCTAGCTAAGTGTGGGTGGGAACTTGTGGTGGAGAGAAGGGCTGGGGAGCCTATGGAGGAAACGTCTGGAACCCCCCCAAGACCATAAGGGTCAGGTTTCCCCCCAGCCCACCTAAGGGTACTTCTCCCACCTCCCTATTCCGGCCCCATTATTCTCCCAGGAGAGTGGGTCTCGTCCTGGGTCTCGGCCTCACTTCTCCATCCCTCCCAGGGTCAGAGTGAGCAGACTTATTCCACGGTGAAGTCAGGGGTGCCTGCGGTCACCGTCACCAACCTGAAGCCGGCTACCCGCTACGTCTTTCAGATCCGGGCCGCTTCTCCCGGGCCCTCCTGGGAGGTGCAGAGCTTCAACCCCAGCATCGAAGTGCAGACCCCAGAGGAGGGTAAGGAGCATGCACAAGTGGACAGGGCCTGGGCAGAGAGAGGTCGCATGGGCTGAGGCGGGGCCGGAGAGACGGGAGAATGGCCGTGCACCTGCAGGAGCCTGAAGGGCAGTCCAACTACTGCCCAGTTAGTGAGCGAGTTGGAATCCGCCAGCCAACGCCTCGCTACCGACACGGATTAGACTGGACAGCTGTCCTGGACTCACTCACAGAGGGGTTCGTGAAGAACTCTCCTCTGGGTTTCACCGGGTGTCTCTTGCCTCCCGGGACCTATCTCGTGTCTGGGGAAAACATCCCTTGCCAAGCAAGGTTCCTGCCACTTCCTCGGGAGTTTATCGGCTCTTGCTCTGACCACTCAGTGCTCCTTCCCACTCCGCCGGGACATAGACCCAGGCTGGGACACGGCTCCTTTCCCCTTTAAGTATGAAGCAGACGTCCCGAAGGTGAGGGACGTGGAGGCAGTTGCACCGCGGCAGTAAACAAAACAAAATGGAGATTGCGCACTTGTGGGGGCGTCGTAGGCCTATGGACACTCTCTCGATGACGCTGTAACAAACGAGTTGGCCGTCAGATACCCCGGTCTCAACCCAGCCCGGCTTCTCCATATGGGACTGTGCGGCCCCTCCCGGCTTCGCTGCCTTCCTCTGGGTCTGGCTCTCCCCAGCCACCTCCAAATTCCCGTCTGTCCATCCTGGTGGTGCAGAGCAGGGTAGCGCCCTCTGGTCCCTCCTGCTGCTCACCTGGCCCCCAGGATCTCACCTCTATCTACCCTGAGCAGCTCAGGAAGGTATTCTCCTGAACAAAGGCGGTTCCCCCTAAGAGGCATTCTGGCCCCAGCTGTCAAGATAATAATTCTTCCATCCTGCTACATGGCTCTAATCCAAGATAGGAGGAGGTCTGAGCCCAAAGGGAGGCAGAGATAAAATGTGAGGGAGTTTGGGTTCTGGGAAGGAAGACAGTGCTTTTTGCTCGATTGCCGGTCCGTGCCAGACCTCGGCCAGGAGCTGGAGAGACGAGATTAGAGCTGCCTCTTCCAGGCCGGGCACCAGCTGAATGTGTACAGCTGCGGGTAGAGGCAGCCATCGGAACAGAGGCTCCAGGCAGTGGCTGGAGCTAGTGGCGGGCTGAGGGTCGGGGAACTGGAGCTGGGGCCGTTATGGAGAAGGGCTGATGATTTCTATTCATCTGGTGCCTCTCAGAGACCTGCCAGCTCCCCGGCCTCCTTCGCAGTGGCCTGGCTTTGGGGGGCTTGTGCTCCAGTGTGCACAGCACGGTTTCCAGATTGCAACCTGTTGCTGTGGAACAAATCCTCCCCAAATGTGGCAGCTGAAAATAACCAGCCTTTACTGCCCCGTGTTTCCTGTGGGTCGGGAGGGTGGAAGACGCTTAGCTGGGTGTCACTAGCTCAGAGACGCTGCCATGGGGGCTGCGGCCACTTCTGGGCTTAACTGGGGAGAGTCCTCTCCCCTACCCAGGTCCCCGCCTGCTGTTGCCAGGGGCCCGCTGGGCCTTGCCTCTGGGCCTGTCTGCAGAGGTGTGTTCTGTCAATCTCATTTTGGTCTTCGGGGACCCTCGGCACGTTCCCTACCATTTTTTTCCTGTTTTATTTTCTTTTTTATTTGTTCACGATAGAGTTCACGTATGTGCATGTGAGGAAAGGAGAGAGAGGAGCACTCCACAGGGTCGGGTCCCGCCATCATCCCCTTCCTCCAACCCTCCGGCCAGCTGGGTCCGGGGCACTTGCGTGCATGCCTGGCACGTTTCAGGCCGACTGGTCAGAATGGGAATGGTTGCCACATGCAGCCTCTTCAAGCTGCACCAGAGAGCCGGCCTCCGCTCCCTCCACCCTCCTTGCATCCTGACTTCTGTCTCAGCGTCCTGTACCCCTTTCCTCCTTGGGTGGACATTCTCTCTACGCACTGTTCCCTGGCTCCTGTGACACTCAGGATTAAAGTCACGCTCTGCTTCGTATTCGAGGCCCTTCGCTTCTGTCCCCCTGGTCCCCTCCATCCTCATACCCTTGGGCTTCTTGTCTTGCCACTCTGCCCCCGAGCAGTCTGTGTTCCCGCCACAGGGCTGACTTGCCGTTTTCCACTTCCTGCATGTGCCCGCGAGCATCCTCAGACCCCTTTGGATCTCCTGGCTCTGTTCAGCCGCGCTCTGCAAAGCCGTCCGCGCTGGCCCTGGGAAGGAGTCGTCGTGCCTCTGTTCAGCTCGGCTCCTTTCTCTGTTTCTTTTTTTTCATTCCAGTTACAATTTTTGTTCCCGTCTTTCCCACGGGTCCATGCATCCTCTAGGGCAGGGACTCGGGCTCATTCATCGCTGTGTCCCCAGCACTGGTGCCCGTGGGTACATGGATGGGCTGACAGCCTAGGTCTCTGGGCCCCCCTCTTGGAAAAACAGTTCAAGGAAGTTTTAGAGTCTGGCACATGACTTGGAGTCAGGTCTACACCTGGGGTTTGCCCGTAGCTGTGTGACCTTGCACATGTTACCTAATTTTATCAAGCTTAGTTTGCTTGGAAGGAAACAATAGTCCCCCCTGAACTGTCATGATCCTGAAACAAGATAGTTAATGTCTTGATGGAAGCACATGCGCATTAACTGCCCATCCTGGGACCACCAGACCACCAGAGCGGGAGCTCAGAGCAGAGGTCGCCCCTGCAGATTCTCGTGTCCGACTGAGAGGCGCAGAGGGAGGCCTGGCCTTGCCGGTCCAGACTCCCGCTCTGTGCTCTCAGAGCTGGGCCGTAGTGGAGGTGCCTTGCTCTGGGGGCAGAGGAAGCCCTTGGGATGCCACTGTGCTCGGTGGGGCTGCCCTGGTCCCTCTGCTGCTGGGAGGCAGTGCCGGGTGCAGAGGTGCTGAGGGAGTCCTGCTATGGGTGAGGACAGGAGCCTGGTCTCCTCCTTCAACTCCTGGTTTTCCTCCCAGCTGCCTCAGGGTCCAGGGACCAGAGCCCTGCAGTTGTCGTCACGGTGGTGACCATCTCTGCCCTGCTCGTCCTGGGCTCCGTGATGAGCGTGCTGGCTGTCTGGAGGAGGTAGGTAGCTGGGCCTAGGCTGGATGACCCACACGAACATGTGCTGGCAGGCACCGATCTCTGCACCTGCTTTGTGCCCCCGCAGGTCTGCACACACAAGCACATTACCACC